CTTCTGGTGGTCGCTGTCTAAAATTGTTAGGTGGTCCACTGCTCATGCCTCGGTTGATGTTAGGCGCGCTTGGAATTGCCCGTCGTGGCTCGGTAAAGCACATGTCGTTGTGCCCCATCCTACGCGTCGCAGACAGGTGGTCATCCCGTCTCCGCGTCACCTTCATGGTTTCTCGCATCATCGCAGGCCTTTCGAGTCAGACTTTCGCGGAAAGGTCGAACGTCAATCCCCCAACGAACGCCCCAACTAGTACACTCTCGGGCCATCCGTGTACGCGACACGCTATGCGTTAGACCCTCGTTGGTAGTCGCGGAGGATGCCCGTCTATTTGATGTGCGCAAGAACCTCGTCGTAGTTGTATTCATGCCCTAAACCTCGTAATGAGTTCTCTCTCGAAGTCATCCCGCCTGATTTGCTCGTTCCTGTTTTGATTAACACTGGAGAGCCATTCCCACAAAACATTAGCCTCACCATCAATGTAAAAAGCTGCGTATCTTACCCAATAATGGTGGTGGATCTCATTGAGGTTGAAATATTGTATAGACCGGTTGATCCACGCGTCTGGGTCCACGCCGCTGAAGGTTGATAGCACCAGTCTGGGCTTCTCGATCCGCGGTCTCTCCTGGTTGGTCGAGGGGTGAGAGCTTCGACCAAAATCGTCCTCCCTTTTCCTTTTACTCAGGTCTCTCGTGCTCGTATTCCCTCGACCGCATCCTTGCTCTTCCCGGTGGTTGTGGTTGTCGCACCAATCATAACACCTCGTCCATCCGACGACTCAAGGCGTCCATCATGTCTTGTTGTGAGTTGTGAAGCGACCGCTCAAGGTGAGCCATGTTGTTAGCCATGGATGTGTTCGTGGCCTCCAATTCATCGCTTAGGCTTGTCATCTTAGCCTCTAAATCTCCAAGCTTTTCCTTTGTTTCTTTAACCAATTTTTTTTATTCACGAAACTAAATTAAAGAAAAATAACAAGTAGACACACGATTTATACTCTCAATGAAAGCACCAATGAAGAAGATTGCATGTCCCAATAGCTTAATTGCCTCTAAGTTGCGTGCGCGAACGACTTCTACTCGACGATAGGTTGTGGATGACTCGGATATCTCCTTATCTTCTCACGATTTTGAGACAGCTCATAGGTTAATCCTTGCCAAACTCAATCTTATGTTGAACTATGCGATGAACGCCCTTTTCTGCACAAGGGTTTTTTTTACTAAAACTCGAAAAGAATTCTAACACAAGAGGTTGAACAAAAATTTGGATTTTTGTTAATATGAATCATAATAAAAATTACCCTAATAACATGAGTATTTAAAGAGGTTAACTTAGCCTAGTCCTAACCGAAATAAACTTCTAAATATAAGGAAAGTAAATAACTAGGATCCTAAAATATTCAAACTAAAGTATCCTAAACAATCTAGGAGTAGTAGTAATTCATCTAGAAGAATCTTCAATCTTGATCGCTAAGCAACCCTAGCCGTCGTGCTTAGCCCGTGCGCGCGCATCGCTTGCATACGTGCCATTCTCGTGCAGTTCTTCCCGGCGATCATTCTCGTGCGCGTCCTCGTACTTGCCCGCGTGGTCTGTTTGTAATATTTTTGGGCATGTGGTAAACGAGCTACCCGACCCAGGTCGTTCTCAAAGGAAGGTTGTTCGGAGCTTCGTTCACTACCTAGTCGTCAAAATCACATAACCAAAAAGAAG